CACAGGAGCACTCGCACAGGAACACTCACACATGGGAGCACACACCACACAGGAGCACTCATGCAGGAGCACACACACAGGAGAATGCTCACACAGGAGCACTCACCGATGCAGGAGAGCACACACACAATGCAGTGCGTGCGCGTGCAGGAGCACTAAGCTGCATGGAAGCACTCACACACGCAGGTGCACTCAGCCCCGTAAGGAGCGTACACGTGAGAGCACTCACGCACGCAGGAAATGCAGGGGCGTGCATGGCAAGCACACTCAGCTGCTTCGGGGCTTTGAGACATGCCATCCACAGTGATCAACAAGCTTCCACAAAAACCTCCGCAAAGTTGAGGGTGGAGGGAGGGGATGCTCCAAGTGCCTTGGTCTCCTCTCACATGATCACCCCTTACCCTTGTTGGGGACAAGCACCCCAGAGCGTGCTGTCCATGCAGGGGCCCTCAGTGGGCCAGCACCCTCACCTGGGCAGCTTGCTCACTCTAAACTGGCAGTAGTAGTACTCAGGTGGCACATCGGGCACTTCCTCATACAGGACATTGGGAATTCCCAGTGTGGCCAGCAGACCAGCTGACCAGTTGGAGGCTTGATTGGGCAACTCCTGCAAGGAGACATCACAAGGTGCAGGTGGGGAAGGCATTGCACACACATGCAAACTGGGCATCAGGTGATGGACTTGGGGGAAGAACACTGGCTCCGTGTCCAGGTCAGAGCTCACAGTGAAGTGTGGAAGCAGGCACACCCCTTCCCCTCCTGACTGAAGGCTTGGCCACAGATTCTATGATTCTACGGTTTCATTTACTCTCCAGACAGGAAGGGCAAAGGAGGAGCCACTTGAGCCAGCCTTGACCACAGATGACCCTGTGGAGTCTAGGCTCCAAAGGGAACAGGTGGCCAATCTGAGCCAGCTTCAGTAAATGTGGTCACCTCTGCCTTCCTACTAAGTTGGCTTTGGTGAGAGGACACCAGTGGCAGCTCTCTTGGTTTGCAAGTCTTGACAATTGCTCCTGATAACTATGGTAACTGTGGCTTGATGTGGGGACTTTGAGGCCCTCCCTTGCCCACACTCCGCGCACTCCAGGTACCTGCAATGGCAGCTTCAAGCGCAGGTCTTCTGCATAGTAACAGAGCACTGCCCAGGGAGCACTGAGGAGGATGTAGTGTATTGTCATATCCTCATCCTGGACGTCATGCTGTGGGATGGAGAGGCACAGATGCATGGACAGGAGTGTGTGCACATGTGAACATATATGGATGGGGCACACGTACATGCATACGGCCCCACATGGCTAAATGCATATGTGCATGTGTGTGCGTTCTTGAACTGTGCGGCTGATACATCATATGTGTGAGGGTACACATATGTGCATGCATGTGCACACGTGAGAGTGCACACATCTGTGGATGTGTGTGTGTGGAGGTATACGTGTGAGCACACACACGTTGGTGTGCATGCGAGTGGTGGATACTGCATGTGTGTGCAGGTACATGTGTGAGCACATACATTTATAGGTGTGCACGTGTGTGTGCAAGCATGTGTGCGCCCACATGCATGTGTGTGAGTGCAAGTGCACACATTTGCTGGTGTGCTCACGTGAATGCTAGCACATGTGTGTGAGCCCACTTGTGTAAGGGTGTGGGTGCACATGCATGTATGTGCATGTGTGTTAATACATGTGTGTGGTACACATATGTGGTGCCTGTACATGCGTGCATGTGTGGAAATGTGGCAGGCCCTCTTGGACCCTGGGGTGTAAACCGACCTGGAGATTTTCCACAGATTAATCTTCCACTGAGTATGTGACCATCCTACAAACCAGCCCTCATGTGAGCAGACTGCTGTGTCTTGTAAATACTAATGCTGCCTGGGTGCATGTGGGAATGCTCCCCATTTCCTAATGCAAAGAAGAGCAAATAAGTTCCAAGACACATGAAAACAATTGGTCTAGAAATTAAAGGGAGCCTGCAAACCAAGCCTCCAAGACTGAAACAGATGGTACCCATGGGCAGTCACACTGAAAGGGACCGCACGTGGCAGGAGACCATGTGGAACCAAACATGAAAGCATGGAAGAGGCCAGGCTTACAGTCCCATAGACACTGGTGGGGCCCAGCCAACAAACCGACGGGCCTATCAGGAAAGCAGTAACACCACGGGGTGCTCACTTCCTAACTACAAAGCAGGCAGGAAGGGCTCAGAAATGATGAATGAAGTGGGCAACTCAGAGAGGAAGTAAGAAGAGTGCTGTTTCATGGGAGGGATGACAGTGTCACAGAGCAAAACACATAGAGCACTCACACAGGTGCACTCACACACAGGAGCACTCAGACATAGAGGAGCACTCACACAGGAGCACTCGCACAGGAGCACTCAGACATAGAGGAGCACTCACACAGGAGCACTCGCACAGGAGCACTCAGACATAGAGGAGCACTCAACACACATACACACACACACGGACCAAGTGCAGGTCTACACACACACCCCCCTGGACCAGGTACAGGTCTGCACGTGCGTGCGCGCACACACACACACACCTGGACCAGGACACAGGTGCTGGAGAGCAGCCAGAAGGGGCAGTCGGGGCACAGTGGGCACATCCAAAAGCTGTCATTGCTGCCACACAGCTCCTGCCTGCAGAGGGAGTGAGAACTGAGACCCCATCCAGCTGCACCCCTAGGCCCCACCCCAATTCTGACACTAGGGCAGGAAATGGTCTCTGCAGAGCCTTTTTGTGCTGGTCTGACTGGTGGGCCCATCTGTGGAGATCCTTCTAGAAAAGGTGTCCCAGGTCCCTTCATTTGCACCAGGAGGGACACTGAGAGACAGAGTGTGGTGTGAACATTGTCCCACCATGGTGTCCCCAGCCTTGGACATGTCCTCCTATGATGCTGCCCAGTAGAGACAGAGCCAAGAGTCAGCCTAGCACACCTGGCACATCTGGGCACACAAATGCCCTGGCCCCCCCTACCCCAAGTTTTCAAACAGGGCCTGACCTCGAGGGTCCCCCCAGCACAAGGAGGAACTGGACAGAGGCCTGAGTCGTATACTTACGTGGGTGTGTCTGAGAACACCAAGAAACAGCCCACCATGAACACCAGAGAGCCCACTGTCGCTGCCGGCAGAAGCCACCCAGTGTAGAAGCCTGCAGGGTGTTGGGATGGGGTCACGGATGGGGCAGGGAGGACAAAGGAGGGAGCAGGAAAAAGGGGCAGGGGGTGGGCAAGGACCCAGGAGGTGATGGGTAGAAACCAGCACCAGGGAGACGGGGGATAAGAATGGGGTCAGGGATTGGGGGCATACATAAGGATGGTATGGGGGGACCAGGAGAATTTAGGGTCCTGTAGGGGACAAGGGTGGTGGCCAGGAATTGGGGGCACACAAGGTGGCTCAGGTATTGGTGAGTACATGGGGTGCTATGGGGGGACTAGAGGAATTTAGGGTTTGGTGGGGCATAGGGGTGAAGTTAGAGATTGGTGTGAAAGACCTGGGGGAATTCAGGGACCCAGGGAAGGGGGATGGAGTGGAGTCAGGGGCCTAGGAGAATGCAGGGGCCAAGGGAGGAGGACAAGGATGGGGTGAGAGGCCTGGCACGGGGAGAGAGGAAGAGTACGGGACCTAGAGCAGAGACAGGGGTGAGTGGTATGAGGGGCCCAGCTAAGGGGCCAGGAGTGAGATCAGGGACAGATGGGGAGTGCTCTGCTCATTGACCCCTACAGATGTTGTTGGGCTGGTGACCCTGCCAGAGGCTCAGAGTCACACGTTTGAGAGAATGGGAAAGGAGGCCCAAAACAGGATGGGAGGGTGCCCTGGTGCAGTAGGGGGGTGAGGAGGGGTGAGAGAGGGCCAAGGGCAGAGATGATGGAGATTGGAGGGCAGGCCTGGGCCCCAAATGCCCAGGAAGGCACTCTGGAAGGCAGATGGGCAAGGGGGGCAGTCTGGGGCACTCTTAGACAGGGATGGGGCAGGACCAGGAATCCCCTTGGTGACAATTCCTAGGCTGGAATGGTTAATGACAGTTGACTGGGGCCAGACCAGGCTCCTCACGGGCACTGTCAGGACATGGCCAGGCTCAGAGGACCCTGCTCATTGGGTAGGGTAGTCCCAAGGGCAAGCTTACCGAGCCAGGCGAAGTAGAAGGCCACCTTCTCCCCGAAGTACCTGCGTACGTGGTCGAGGGGCTGGTACTTGTTCCACTTGCCCCAACGGGCCCAGTGCTGGTGGAGGACCTGCCGCTGGTTGAGGACCTGGGGCTGAAGTTCCTCTGAGGGCATCACAAAGGGGCCCTGGGGATCGTGAGGAACTCATATGGACCTGGTCTCCCTGAGGACACGTGAGGCTGTGGGATCAAGGCCCAGAGGGGCAGGCTGCTGGACAGCATGTAGTCCCTGCCACCATGTCCAGGGAGGATCAGTCCTGTGCTTTCCACCTCCAAAGGTGGTGACTGTGCTGGTCACAAAGAGAGATGGCCAGCATCAAGGAGCTCCACTTGGCAAGTGCTGCTCTGGGGCCTAGAGACCCTGGGACCATCCCACACCCACCCTGCAGGACCCAGAGTGAACAGCAGGACCTGGGGGTCTTCCCTCTGCAGACACACCCATCTTTGCTGGGGACTGTAGCCCCTCAGCCCCCCATGACTCACGTCATGCAGGGGGAATGCCGCCTGAAAGACCCCCTCTGTCAGTAGCTGGTCGATTCCAAACAGGGTCCTCTTCTCATGGCCATAGGAGGTCTTGGCCAGGATTTCAAACAGCTGCAGGAGGTTGGGGGGGAAGAATGACCTCAGTTATCTGTCAGGTGACAGTGGGACAGAGACAGTGCGGGGTCAGAAGGCTGCTCAGAGCAGGTTCAGAATCAGAGATCAGGGCTCAGGGACCACAGATAAAGACTCAGAGGAGATCCAGGGCTCAGGGCCCAGAGAGGGCTCAAGGTTCAAAGCAGATTCAGGGCTCAGGTCTGACAGAGGAATTGGGAGCCAGGAACCAGGGACCAGGGACCAGAGAAACTAGGAGAGAGTTCAAGGCTCAGGGACCAGGGACCACAGATCAAGGTTCAGAGCATATTCACAGAGGGACCAAGATTCAGTGCTCAGGACACAGGGATCAGAACTCAGGGTTCAGAGAGGGCTATGGACTCAGACCAAATGCAGAAGAGAACACAGAACAAAGGGGCCAAGGCTCAAAGTAGATCCAGGGATCGGGCTCAGAGAGGGACCAGGGCTCAGGGCAGATTCAAAGCAGGTGCAGGCTTCAGGGCTTAGAGCAAATTCAAGTATCAGAACTCAGGGATCAGGGATCAGAATCAGCACCACAGCTGAGAGCAGGTTCAGAGCACAGCAGTGTGCTCACTCACAATCTGGTGTCTTTCAGTGCTAGTGAAGAAAGTGTCCTGATTGTCACTTCCAAGGAACCTGCAGAAGGTCAAAGAGCAGAACTCAGGTCCACATGCATGTGTGGGCACACACAACCAGATGTCACACACAGGTGCCCACACTCAGGAGCACTCACTCGCAAGGGAGCACTCTTACATGTGAAATAACTTACGCATGTGAGAACACTCACATGGGAGCACTCAC